TACATCTCCAGGAGTTGAATGGGCGCAAGGGCAGGCAGGCAGAGACTCTGGATTCCATCACGTTGTTGGGTCACGCCGGACTCGCAGAGACAGGTGCATCAGCTTCGACCCAGAGGCCGATAAAGCAGAAAGGAATGGTACATCGGCACTTATGCATCAGCCAGCTGGTTTGTTCATTTTGCTGCACTGTCAGTGATAGCCAAGCAGGTTGGCCGATGGAAGGTAGATCTCGGTGATGAGCAGAAGCCGGAGGCCCAGAAAAGCCCCATTCTCAGACTGCATGCATCCGTCCTGCCAGCCGTGATGCCTGCAAGGTCACTCAAAGTTGAAAATTTGGTGCCGCCCTGCAAGCTGCAATCGCGCACATGCACTTGCGCGTCTTCCCGCTGAAATCTGCACACACGTGCGTGCGTCCTTGCATGCAGAATTACTACTGCGGATTGTGGGATAGGTTGCAATTCTCGCAGACAAGAAATTAGGGGCAGTGATACCCAGGCGTCATGGCGGCATATTCATCATGAATGCAGTGCAGGCAAGCGGTATACAACATAGCGTTGCAATGTGCTCTGGCATGGGTAGTCTATGCTCACGTTGTATCTTTGGCTGGGTTTCGAGTTGATGGTAGTACGCTGGCGAACTTTCTAGAGACGCAGTCCATGAGCAGAAACAGCATGTGTCTCTGTCTGCACAGCGGCGCGTGCGAATGTCGAGAACTTCGGGGGTCGGTAAAGCTAAAGCATGCTGCTCGCCAGCAATTCCGGCACACAAAAGTTTGGCTGGGCACAGTCCCAATTCGTCGTGCACTGCCGTATTCGTTATCTTCATTCGAGTTAGCCGCGCGATGAAACGGCATTGGCCAAAGCAATGGTGGTTCGCATCTTTGCAACACACCTATGGCTAGCCTTCCCAACATTGAACTCAAGCTTCCCTTGTTGACCGGTCATTGCTCCTGCTCATCGTTGGGTGAGGTCGTGTGGACGGTGTCTGAGCTCATATCGTTGGTTTAGGTCTCCACCTTAGCCAGGATATAGTTGTTTCAATTAGGCGCTTCAAGTCGGCGTTGTTTTCGGTTGTTTGTTCTGCAATTGAAACTTTGCAACTGTTGCCGACCCGTTCTCGCCACAGCGTGCTTTTTCACGACTTTCCTGAGTAACGATACCAGCTCGGGACGTGGAGAAATGCGAGCAGCCTTAGGTGCGTAGAACCGCACACTGTACGCTTTGTCAGAAACTTCAAAGACTGACTGTGGAAGGGAAACAGGCATCAACGCACCTGTGAAGTCGTAAAATGCCCTTGATAGACTCGCGCCCTCAAGCGTGTGGATGAGGTACCAGCTCCCGACGAAAAGCCCCCAACCCGGCAGAGCGCAGAGGCAGAGCCTGCAGCCCAGCTTCCGAAAAAGCCGCTGAAGAAGTTCCATTTCAGAATCGCAAAGGAAAGCAGCAGGCGCGGCAGAGGCGACAAGGTGGGCACAGCGAGTTTGCGTTCCGAGATTCCCCCTCTTGGATACCGACCGTCTCAAAAAGGAGAGAGGCTTTGGACGCTCGCCAGAAACACGCGGAGGATTATGGCCAAGCTCTCAGCATCTAGAAGGATCCCATGTGCAAGATGCACGAAGCAAAGTCGTCAGTGCCACCCATTGGTTCCAGGATGGGACAGCTGAGCCCTGATCCGAAGAAGTGAAAAGTTCTCCGATTCCCTGCCCATTGAAGCTTCTTTTCAAGACGTTTGAATGTTAGCGAAAGCCAAGTTCGATGGCTTGCTCCCCTTCTTGGCTCCTGCTTTTGACAGAAAGCCAAAGACGAGCAGACAACAGTGTTCATGTGTATTCACTACTTTGCCGGGAGGTTGTGTCATGTTTTGTCCAGAATCATTCACGGTTCTCTTCCGGCACCGAAACGACGATGGGCTGCGCGGTAGCAACCAGCCAGGACAGGCTACGGCTGGCGAGAGAGGCCAGGTCTGTTGAAACGTTTGTATGGCTCTGCTCTAGGGGAGGCAGTGCGAGCAGCTCCAAGCATGAGCTCAATTTGCAGCTGGCCTCTGTCCACAGGCTGTGCTCTTGGCAGAGGGTTGCCATGGCTCCGTGACTTTCCGAAACTTCAGGGCACCAGGCAGGAGTTTGGTGCAGCTTCAAGAGTGTTCGTGCGATATCAAAGCGCTGTTTCGAAGAATGGTTGTCGATGCCTCACAGGCAAGTGTTTTAAAAGAAAATATATATATATATATATTATATATATACATATATTATATATATATTATATTATATATATATTATATGTATATATTATATATATATATACAACAAGAAGGATAGAATCTGAATCTTTTCAAAATATAGTACCTTTTATATATTTAAGATATATTTCAACAATGGAAGATAATTAAGATATATTCAATAAGGATTCTATAGATTAAATTAATTAAATGATAAGAATTCAATGGAGAAACAAGAAATATATTTTTTTCACTAGGATTCAAAGCTGAAAAACTAAAGTTATTTTCATTGATTTTATTGGAAATTATATAAATTAAAAATTTTTTGAATAATAAAATGAATCTAATTTTTTGTTGAAAAAAATATATATACATGAAATATAAAAGAATATTATATGGGTTTCATATTTGTGTTAATATTAAATATATATTCGATTTAAAATATAAGAAATATAATTTTTGAATTTAGAAAAACATACTTGAATTAATTATAGTTTTTATTTAATATTTATATTATATATATATATAATGAGAAAATTAAATTGAATTAGTATTTTTTTAAATAAGATATAAATTAATAATTCTTTTTAAAAAAGATATATAGGCTTAAGATATTCTATTCTATAAAAGAAAAATATTATTAAATTGTATTATTATACTTGAAATATTTATTTCGTCGATAAATTTAAAGCTTTGGGTAATTGTTTTCTTTCTAATTTTAAGCTTTCTATAATTATTAAGGATTTAGAAAATTTCGTGATCGTTAATTTCTATTTGATTCGGAAGTCGGCTCTAAATTGTTGCAAAATTTAGATTGTTCGACGTTGTATATTATTTGTTTTTTTTTTCGAAAATTTCAATATTGAATTCTTTAATTGGTTTAATTGTCATTAAATTGATGTATTCTAAATTTTCGGATAATATAAAAGAAAAATCTCGTCTTTTCTGTTATTGGTGACTCCGAATTTGGATATGGAGACCATCTTATAATGTGGTCAAAATAAAAAATATTACGATTTAAAAAAAAATCCGCAAGATTTTTTTTTTAAAAAAAGATAAATTCTAAGGCTCATCATATTTAATTAATCACTCAATTAATATTTCGATTAAGAATAAAAACTCTAGTAAATTCCGAGATTTTCATTCTAAAATTAAGAAGAATGAAATTCGAAAGTCACGAGCCGTTCTATAAGATGATATTAGAGATAGATATTCCAAAGAAAAAATTATATTTCTTTTTCTCTTGCTAATCCTCTTAAGCAATAAATCGAATCACCTCCCTAAGATCATATATAATATTATATATTAAGAAATCTTTCTCCACAAGCATGCTAGAAAAATATTGTATAGCAGTAACTTATAATATAGATCTCGAGAAAGAATTCGCTTGAATTATTATATCTTGGATTATATTTTTTCCTCTTGTTATATAATATATGACAATCATTTACTTTAGAATATATCTTATTTTACAACGATATTATTTTTTATTAATTAGAAAAATTTTATTTATTTATTCGATTCGAAGCTTAATATTAAATTAGATTTCCTTTCGAATTTCTAACTCTTTATTTCGAAATTTTCATTTTACTAACCCTATCCCTAAACTCCTAAGCTATTATATAACGAAATATGCCATTTTTATAGATATAACTTAATTTTTTCAGAAATAAATTAAAAAATAAAGAAATTAAGAACAAAATACTAAAAGCTATTATTCTATTTAGAATTTTTTAATATATATTTTCTTTAAATTTAATATAATCTCTTTTCTATTTATACTATATATTAAATATCTATACGAGATAATTCATTAAAATCATGAAATATCATAATAATAATTAAATTTCGATATATGAAATCTTTTTATAAGAATTCCACGCCCATAGACGTATTTTCTTTACCCATAAAACTCCCCTATTTTCTTCGCTAGACTCCGCCACCCACCATCCCACATCCGCGACAATTCCTTCGACCTCTCTCGCCACTCGACAACTCCCACGCGCCGCCTCCCATTTCGCGACACTTTTCACGATACCCACACACCACTCTCAGCCACCACTCCACCCTCGCCCACCACTCCACGACATTCCCCCACGACACACACGCCGTCACCCGCACGTACGAAACCCTCAAAATCCCAGGAATTTCTGAAATACGCAGTAAAGATACGCCCACAATTAACAAGCAGACAGCCGCAGACTTACCGACGATTCCAAAACTCCGGAATTTTCGAGATTTCGTGCCGGCAACCGTCCTACACAAATCCGAAACCGGAGGCAGCGTGAAGCGTTGTACAGAGTAAACGAAATCCCAAATCTAATCAATAATTCAAATCTCAATAACAAACATAAGTATGGGTATTGATCTATTCCCAAATATAACGAAATCTCAAAAAGATTCATCTAATTTCTTGGTCTGATCATATAATTATCAGCAACTTTCACTATTAATGAATTAGGTTTTTGAAAATCTGTTCTATGTGGTTTTTCCATATCCGATGTTCATTATCAAAACATCGCTTCCGGTATCCGCCTTCATTTAGCTTAATCTATAATTATCGAATTCTCTAATTCATGCCTCTGTTCAGATTCAGTTTCCACTGCACGCTGGCTTTAGCCAGAAATACCGAGATTGCCGATGGATGAACTCTGTCATGGAGAACACCAGTGAAACGCTTCACCGAGCACCCCTCAGAATGCATCTCGCAGAGAGGCAGATCGTAACCGAGGAGGCAGCATTGAGTGGACATCTTACCCACGAGGTCAAACACCACGGCTCATTCAAAGGATGTGGCATTGCCTGCCATGACCAGGACAGACTCGGGCACTTCACTCTGCAGAAAAGCGAGAACACGTGCAGAAAGAGAACCGTGTCGGGGACCACTGCTCGCTGGTAGTCTTGTGGAACTTTGCGATTTCTTCCGCAAAGCCTTTTCGAAGCCTCAGCCGAGTAGACCATCGCACGCCGAAACCAGGTCCATGCACTGGCCTTAAGCAGTTCCTGAGCCTTTGGCGCTGTTTCGCCAAGATCTGGCTCTTTGTCAAACTCAAGGGTGACAGGTGCAGGCCTTAGATCAAGCGGCAAAGTGACCTGCATCCAATGCCGTCTCCAGTCCGTGTATTGAGGGTCCCGGCGCCACCAGCTCAACCGATCTGTCCCGAATATTTTTGAACAGGTCGTGGTCGAGGGCTCGGTCCTTGGGGTGCACGGCCTTCTGTAAGAACTAGACCTGCGCCTTTAGGCATTTAGGAGCCTGGCCACATTGACCCTTTCCCGCGGTGTGAACTTGAGCATCTTCCTTGCAGAGCATGGAGCCACTTAGACTGAGATCGTTTCGCTTCGTTTGCAGGGGCCGCTGCTCCAGCAAGTCCACAGAGTCCTCGGGTGCGTCTGGGAAGCGACTTCGCCTGGACGTCCAGGCGAACACGGACTTAGCAGATCTCAAAGATGCTCGGCCCATCGGCCCATCTCAGCTCGTGGCACCCCTTTTCGCTCGCGCCGCGCTAGCGCCCGGATATGCTGCTTGGCCTCCTGTGCACGCATTCGCAGGGCTTAATGCGAGCAGGCAAACGTCAATGAAGGCCTCCGTCTGGAGTTGGGCAATCTCAGCCTGCAGCACAGACTTCAAACCGGCTTGAAAGCTGAAGCATGTTCGCAGACTTAGATCTCTGATTAGATGTGCGTCGCACTGTGGTACTCGGAGCGCTCGAATTTCAAGAAACGAACGGCGGACGAGCTCAAATGGAGTGTAGCTTGAAGGAGGACAATGCGCAACCTCTCTTGCCCCAGTTCCTGAAGGAAAGGATCCTCTGCTCATCTCTACACGAGAAAGTTCGAAACTGCAGGCTTTCTGAATCGCTGTTCAGCTCCGAGCTGGCCAGAACAATCGCAGCCCCAACTCGTTTCACAAGGAGCGCAGATTCCAGAACTGGAAAAAGCCAAGCAAAGAGGTTCCAAAGCACGTGGTCACTTCCAGCGCAGGAGCGGTGATCAGGATGCATCGCGAACATGCGTCTTAATGTCCAGGAGACCTTGACGCCTAAGGCATGGCCAGTCGAAACCCATTTGCCCCGGGCTTGGGTTCCAATGTCGGGTGTTGGCAGGACTTGCATCACTGTGGACAACAGCGCAACGGTCCGCAGCACAGTCGTGCAGGAAAAGTGGACTTGAAGACATACTGCACTGCTGGGCGGTGCACGAGAAGGGCTTGAAGTTTGGCCAATACCCCGCATTGTCCTCTTCACAGGATCCGATGCATTCCAAATCCCTCAACCCCTGACCATGAGGGAAGCGTTTCGCGATGTCTCGGGTTCAAACTCCGGTTTTTTGTGACTCCTGATTTCTCTTCGTGCCGCCGGCCCCAGTATCAGCAGCAAACATGACACTCATTACGACAGCTGGAACAAACCATGGCGACTGGAGCCTTTGCATACAGTCACCCAGGAGTCGTCTAAGGAGTGGTTCTACGCTCAATTCTTTCGTCTCCGTACTGCGCAGAGTGCTCACATCTGCGGCTTCCATCGTTGAGAGCAGATGCGAAAGTTGTCCACAGTCTTCTGCTGTGGACGCAGCTCGGGGTTTAAGGACTCTTGCAGTGCGTTGCTGCCTGTATGAGGTTCTGAACCCACGGCCCTATGCAAAACACAATCGCAATGGACTGGCTCCGCTGATCTGTGTATGCCTCAGAGGGAGTGCCAAGCAGGTCGAAGATAACGTTCAGCTGGTCCGTACCTTTTTTGGGGCATGAAGGCAACGACAGAAATCTACAGTACCACAGCCAGGGGTCAGCTCTTCTGTCAACTGAGGCCGTGTCTGCCACGCCTGGCGCATTGCAAGCACATGCGAGAAAGAAGGACGAAACCGGGCCGTAAAATATTATGGGAATCGTCAATTGCAATCTAAAGCGCCATTACATAAACTCGCCTAGGCACGTATGGAACCTGGGATCCTTTCGATGCTTTCTGTCCGGCGAAAGTGGGTAGCAGCTCGAACCAGGAAACAAAGGTCCGCGATCCTGCATGGCGCATACTTCGGTACGACATCACGGACAGCCGAGAACAGCGTCCTCAGTGTGGGTACCCTCCTCAGAAAAGAAAGCCATCGTGAAACCTAAGATATTTCCTGAGACTGGGGCTCTGGCCAGCATTTGCAGGAGCTCTGCATAGATGCACCCCACGGACCACATGTCGATTTGCTCGTTGTAGGTATCCTGGTCAAGAAAAGACTCAGAGGTTATCGAATTCATGTCAAACCGTGTGAAGCTCATATCATTGTTGGCTTGAGCAAGGCAGCCAGGTGTCGTGTATGAACACTGTTGAGGTCGGAAAAAAGAAAGAATTCGGCATTGCGTTGAATCAAGCCGAATGCGATCTAGAATCTAAAATCGTGACATCTACGCTTCCAAACCCAAACCCCACAAAAACTAAACACGGCTCTGAAGCGCTCACAAGCCTTCTGGCTCCCTGTCTCTGACGGAATCAACCCTGAAACTCAGAACCTCAAGGCTTCAACAGATCTTCGAGTCCATTTCCGCCTGCAAGAGGATCAGCTCAGGGGCCCGGTACCAGCCTAAGTCATGAGGAAAACGGGATACCTTCTCAGGGTCTGGGTGCGTTTACGGTGTTTTTTTTTTTTGGGGAGGGGGGGGGGGGCAGAACGGCTAGGGGCTAGTGACCGCTAGTGTTGAGGACTACCGTTGGGAGCCGCTCTTCTTACCAGCGTCCTGGTTGCCCTTAGTCTGACTGGTGGATCGTTGCGCGAAGTTGAACAAGCGAATGCTGGCTGTGAGAAACAGGCGAGGCTCAGGCGAGTGACCACGTGCCTAGTCATGGTCCTTTTGGCTTTTGCTGTGTGGGGGACCACAGGTCCAGCGACCTCTGGCAGTCAGAGTCCACCAAAGAGGTGGCCGGTGTTTGCAAGATTTCACTGCTTCCGCTGCAAGAAGGCACCTCGTTGCTTTCTTCCTCGCCGCGAGGCGTGTTGGGCAACGGAGCATGCTGTACCTGAGTGGATCATGGCACGACTTCCAACTCGGCCCCAACACCACAGGACACCGGAGATCCAAGAAAATACAGGCACGGCTCGGCTCTCAATGATTAAGTCCAAGCGTGATCATCACTCCAAGCTACGACATACGCATGCATGCGCAATAAAAGGTTCGAGTTGCAAATAGCCTGTAGGAGGATTGCACGAGTGCACGTGTGTTTGTGTGTGTGTGTGTGGGTGGGTGTGTGCGTGCGTGCGTGCGTGCGTGCGAGAAAAGGTGGATGAGCTCTTGAGCTCATGGACGCGTGGGCTTGTGCCGGTCTGTGGATGCTGGCCCACGACCCTAGATGACCCAGACGAAAACTGACGAGGACATTCGAGGACGAGTCACCTTTCTCGGTCCTCGTGGGACAAGATGCTATCTCGACGGTGACGGTGACGACGACCACCACCACCACCACGGCCACCACCACAACAACAACAACAGACCGCCTGCGCAGCAGAAGTCACACTGAGGGCCTCACCGATGAAACTGCTCTGGAGAGCCCGAAGTCACATATTTTGACCGAGCAATCCTGGTGATAAGACAGCTCTCATCGACTACAGAGCCGAGGTCTCCGAGGTCCTGGTTCACCAAGCAATTGGCTGGCTTCAGATCCTGAGCTTCGACTCTGCTAGGATTCCGCCAAGGCTCCGGGGACTTCCATCTGAGCTGGGAACCCTGTGCCAGATACCCGCGGAGTGCAGGTACCTCAATCCTTCGAGAGAAGCACATGTGGCCAAGGAAGGTCCCAGTCCCATGCCGGGTGTCGCGCCGACAAGCAAGTTGTAGAGCAACGTGTTGATGTGGAGGGGTGTGAGAAGGACATCTGTCTTGATCAGCTTCTTCATGTCCGAGTCACAGAGCCTGACAGGTTCAGCTGTGCAACTCAGCGAAGTAGTCCCCTTTTTCCCGAGGGTCCCGCTCCATGACTATGTACAATTCGTCGAAACTGCGCATGTGAGACGGCCTCGGAGTCTCTGGCACGAAAGACACTCTGCAAAAGCCCTCAGCTGCGGCACAATGTTCACAGTACAACCGCTTTACAGTTGCTGCCGCAAGGCTCGATGATATCGTAGATCTGCACAATGTGTGGATGTGTGAGCCTGCACAATCAGTGGCAAGCAGCCTTCAACGTCGAACCCCCAAAGCCGTGTCCTCGTCATGATAGCAGTTTCTCGAAGAATCCGTTTGCAGTCCACCAAGTCATCAAACATATGTTTGACCTTTGTGCAGACTTGAGAGCATGCATCTCCATACCGATTCAATTAAAGGAGACCGTCTTGGGAACACGCTCGTTTGATTGCGACGTTCTGGTCACGCTCTTTGTCATAGGCCTCGCCTTTACAAAGGGGATTTGCGGATCTGCCGCCCCGTCCGTGCGACTACCAAACTGTAGATGCTGTATCCGACAGGCTCAGCACCGCACATACACTGCCGTATGATCCAGATCCTATGATGTTTTTGACCTCATATCGCGACCTTGGCACGTCGAGGTCTCAGAGCAGCTTCCCCCGATCACTCCTCCATACTCGGAGCTAACCCTCTCTCGCAGCTGGACTCCTAGGTCCCTCACGAAACATGCCACTGGCCTGCCCTTGGGATAACCGGCATCTCATGTACCACGGGAACTTTTGGCTGCTTCGAGCCGTAAAGGTAGACACCAAGCTCCAACATTCCAAAACCACCCAGCGCACCCCACAACACCTCTTCACAAAACCGCAAAGCAGGTCTTGTTGCTTTTGGGCATGCTGTGCAGCAGTCTTGCTCCTCCGCCAGTGCAGTGAAGCATCCGGCAGCTGTATCGGCGCAGACAGCTGCAGCTAAACACGAAACTTCCGGCACCGTTTGAAGGTGTCGAAAGTGTTCGCAGCACAGCCTCCACGACCGCTCAGGCGTAGCGCACCGAGCTTTGCACAATGTTCAGCGGCCAACCAGCTCGACGGCCGCATTAATGCGTGGCGGCCTGCCGTGCATCAAGAAGACTAGCCAACGTGGAATCATTCTTGCCGAGGCAACCGTCTCGGCTATGTGGCAGCAACGGCAACAACTAACCCAAAGGATCCACCGAGAAAGATCTACTGCGGGAGACAGAAGACATGCCAAAGTCGTTTGCAGAAGCATCAGCCCGTTACAGGTGGTAAAACAGCAACTCTGCTCGCCGACGTTGCCCGAGGAAAGTTTACAGACACTGAACATTTCACAGGAAGCAGCAGCAGTTGGCGCCAAATATGCTCGAAGTTGTCCATCCCACTTCAAAAGGCCGGTATTGCAGCGTAATACTTGACGGATTGAGAACCCTAAGGTGGGACCAAAATGCAAGACTGTCACAGCATCAAAGGCGCCCTTGTTCTGCATGCAGTATGACTCTTGACCTTTACATGAAACATGCGTTCGTTTTGTTTTAAATTAGTCTAAGCCCGTTGTCCTTCCTTCCGTTGTGTACTTGTGTTAAACCCAAACTTCATCTTGTCCGGATGGCGAGCTAAGTAAGTCTTGCTACTTTTTACACTGACGCACCGTCTGTGTTAGCTTCACTTCACCTTTGTGGTGTTAAAACCACTTAAAACATGAGGAGGATGTGAGACAGCTATGAGAGCCCGGATAAAAGGAGCAGCATTTTTATGTAGTCATGAAGGTGAGTTCTTGCGTATGCGGAATCATGTTGTGCCAGTCCCCAGGAACCAACAAAACGAACTTTCAAGACACGCATCACATGCTCATCATGTGCCTGCTTTGTATGCTTAGATTTGTTCACGCAGCGGGAGCTGGGGCAACAACCTCCTCCTTGTGACATGGGGGCGTCTGGGAATGCTTTCTATGCCGAACAGAAAGTTGGCAATCCTGCCGCACACGTGTTGCAGGCCATTCTTTGGCACCTGGCGGCCCCCCTATGCCCGGGATCAAACCCCGCAAACGAGCTTGCTGTGCTAGCTTTGTGGCTCACAGCGATAGCATGCGCTTGAGGATCGTGATCAGGAATGGTCAAGGATGTCGCGTCTTGCTCATGCAACCAAACATTCGATCAAACTTGGGCACCTCTGTTCTCCGGCTTCTGGCATCGTGGGCTGCAGGGCAGCTGTTGAGAATTTCACACGACTGATCGCCACGTTCACATCCAACAGTTCTCAGAAACAGCAAGCAGCCAAGCAAAACGACCGGCTGTAAGGATATGACAAAAGCCTTACAGCAAGCGTGTTTACCAATTCACAAAAGCAAAGCCCTTGGCTCTTCTGTCAATTCTTCGTCGTTGCGTCGTTTCGCTTCAAAGTCGGCTTGCGTGTATTCTTTGCGCAATACTGGCGCTTCTTTTTTCGCGATGGCTCAATTCGGTTTAGCGGCTTGTCTTGTTAGTGTTCTTTCTTTGTCTCCAATGTGGCTCACGATAACACCTGTGGTGTTCTTTGACATCGCTTCTCCTCCGCCCACCAGTTTCTTACTTGCCTGGGGTATTCTGTGTTCATAAAGCCGTCTGTTTTGGTGACGGATGGAGTCGGCATTGTCTTATGACTGTTGCTCGTTTGTGTCTTGATTTGGGTGGTATGAGAGGACATGAATGCCGAACTAGTCCTCGCCTTTGTCCAATGGCGACTCCGGTGCACAAAGACACTCAAGCAATATGTGTGCCGACGAACCCGTTCTGAAGATCAACACAGTCTGACCCGGGCCCCTCTCAGCATCTCTACGATTACCCTCCTGCAACTCCGTGCTCCCGTTCATTCGGCATCCTTGCATCCATAAAACTGTCGATGAACTGTGTCCTTGTTCGTTCAAATCGAAACGAAAACTCTCCAAACTGTCACTGTTCAAACGTTCCTTTCTGCAAGTTCGCTTCGAAGTTGTGGGGATAATTGGCTCATGGGGTGGTACCGTTGCCTCACACGATCTTATGCAGTGCACGACGTGGCTGTCTCTCCTGTTTCGTTGGACGGACATGCCTGCAATCCCTAGAAAGCAGAAAGTCGGGCGGGCGGGCGGGCGGGAAAATCGTGAATACTGGCACCGCAATGTGCCGGCACAGGTGTACACTGCACAGTAGCACTGCTGATCATGCCGGTGCGCCAAGACTTGGTATCAAACACAACTGTACAGCAATGCACGTACATGTGAGAGACCTGTGTACTGCTAGACCCAACCGAACCGGTACACCCGACACCCAACGTGGGCAAGGGATCCAGTGCTTGTTCGACCTTCTAGGTGAAGCCACGGCCTGCCTTCCGGGACCGCCATTTTGAAACGTGACTCCTGCCCATTGGCCTCAGGGGTTCTCACACATCGAAACATCCACACCACACGACCGGGCGCCTTCTGACAGCATCCACTTCAGCTCATGCCTTGCAGGGACGGAGCACCCAAATGAAACAAATACTCCCAGAGCTAAGCATGCCGAAGCCCAACGCACCCGCGGGTTCAGTGTGAGCCGGACACTCGGCTCGGCACGTTACGGATGTGGAGTTGTGCCATGCTCCTGTCGCGGTCACCGCATAACCTGGCTCCAGCACCGTGCGTGTAATAGAAATGGAAAGCTGCAGGCATCCTAGTTCATGGCAACTCCGGAAGCAATCTGCAATAATGTGGTGGCTGCACGTGGTTGCCCGAAACCTGCTGTCCCAACATTGACACGGGAAACGATTGAAACAGAAGGCTTGTCGTCTGCCTTGGTCCGCAATTCCAAGCGCCACTGCAAGCTTGGCACCCCAGCCAAGCCCTGAAGACAAGCAAACGCGCAAAGGCCTGTAAATTACTGGCTTCGCTGCCATCTTGGTGCGGGTCGGCTGACTTCTGCCACACTCTCGAATCCAGATCCTTGGCAAGTCTGAAAGCTGAGCCGGGCTCGAAGATGTAGGGAACTGAGCGCCAGGCCACCCAGGCCAGCCTGCGCACTCTGCAAACCTCCACAGCAGGCGGTGCGGGAAGTTGAGAGCTGAGCTTGAAGGGCCCGTGAAGGGAGTTGCTTCAAAAAGCAAGGGGCCCTCAAAGCTCTTTCCTATCTAGTTCCACAGCTGGAGAGTTAGCTTTGCTGGTGCAGTGCCGATCAGACCGTTGGCACTCGAGGAACTCTCAGATCACAGCTGAAGGGGTTTGAACGGGTCTGAGACTCTGCCAAAGTGCGAGCTGTACTGCTAGCTGCAAGAAGGGATCGCAGGAGAGGTGTTCAGGAAATTGCCGCCTCCTCTACTCTGCACGCTCGCTCTTCCTTCCCGTGACGCTTCGGAGCTTCGCTCCGCCTGGCCTAGAAGTGCACTGGGCCCGTCGCTACCTCCGCACAAGCACGAGCCGCTTCTCTTCCTCCTTCCCGTGAGTTGGGGCTGCAGGATCAAGATTTAAATGGAATCAGCCCCAGGCTTATGCGCAATTTCGTGGCCGGCATAACCTGCAGTCCAAAGCTAACCATCTTCATGCATGCCGTAGCTACTGCCGAAAACAGAGATACGGCTACGAACGAGTCTTCTCTCGCAACAACCTCGACTTGTCCGCCGAAATAGCCGAGTTTGACTTGGCCACTCTCACTCACACACAAACACTTGACACACAGGTTACCGATTGCACATCTCTTGCATTCTCTTGTACTAGCTCTTACCAGTTCGCACTCTGTAAATCAGATGCCTCTCCGAACTTTACAGCAATGCACGACGAGGAGTGGCACCCCGTCAAAAGCAATGCAGGTGCGTGGGTTGAGTGTCCCCAATCCATACCACAGCATATCTGGACCGCGTGTGTTGGGCAGCTCTATCCTGAAATGCTCGCGAACAACTGTCCCCTAGATACAGGATTTCACACACACACACACACGCATACCCACCCACACGGACACCCACACCCACACCCACACGCACACGCACACGCACACGCGCGCACGCATGACGCCGGGTCCCGAGCTGCTGCCCCTCGCCCCGGTCGTAATGGTATCCCCCACGACCGACTCCCAAGGCTGTCTATGACAACAATCACAGACATCATGCCCGGTGAGGGCACGATCCTCGTGACGGGCGTCGTTTTGGAGGACGGGATCGTCGCCGCCAAGTAAAGATGTCAACAGTCGCTGGCAGTTAGACCTGTTGGTGTCAACATTCTGGGCAACCTCCCATCCCCAACATGGCAACAGTGGCTGGCACGAAGTCGTGATCAGCATGACTGTCGCTGTGTTTGGGGGCAGGTTGCGGGTATTCAACCCAAACCACCAGTTGACAAGGGGTATGTCCGTGCGAATTTTTGAAAGAGGGCTTAAGGGGGGCTGAATGGGGGGCTTGAGAAAGCAGGGGACTAGGCGACAGTGTCAGTGTCATGACAAGCATGACAGACCATGCCGAATGGACAAGGGCAGCACCAGGACGGGGAAAAGGGGAAAACCAACACCACCACCTTTTGGTTGGGGCTGCCTTAACAGTCGAGCGATGACTTCAAGGTTGAAGTTACTAGGATGATTTTCTATGGCTGTCGTTTCGGGTCGGCTTAGAAGGTTTAGGTCTTGTGGAATTTAGGCTTCAGAATTCAGGATCATGTCGCTCGTGCCAGGAATTTCCGGGGCTGCGAGACACACTTAAATCGTCGTTATGACCGCTATGACAGTGGGGTTTTACATAGTGGATACTCAATGTACCTAGCTTTGACGCAGGCTCAAAAAGGGGGTCTCACAAAAACACACACACACACACATCACTGTCATCATTTTCTACTAGTCTCCAGTGAAATCGACGTCATGATGAAGGGTTTTGGTTGATGTTTCGCTGGCTTCATGGGCAAACCTACAATATACATACATACTTTCTGTGATAGGTGTATGTGCATGAGTATAGGTGTGTACATATACATATACATATACATATACATATACATGTACATACACATACACATCCCATACGCATACACATACACCTACACCTAC